GTTGGGCAGGGGGGTTATGGTAGCGTGACTCCTGCGACGATAGGTTGTGCAGGCGAGAGGAGGTAGGTGTTTAACGTTTGGATCGTGGGCCGTGTTCGGGGAAGGGGGGTCCAGAGTCAGTGAAATTCTACTTGACCGAGCACGGACAGTCTGCTGTTGTTTAAAGGCTTCCTACCGGACCGAACAACAAACCTACTTTTAGTCCCTTCCTAAGCTTCTGTAATCAACATCTAATTCCACCTACCCTTAATTTTGCCACGGTATGATGGCTAACCGAACAAGTAATAATCGGATAGCTCGCGTAAAAACCAGGAAAATATATTCTCAATATATACTCAAATGTACTAATTAAATTTGAAGAATATGATCTTTGAATTTGATATGGATGAAAAACATAGCAAACCTATTTTCTTGCGAGCGGCCAATGACCGTAACGATAAAAAAATCCAGTTCGTGAGGATTAAGTTGTTAGGACGACCTAACAAACAACCTTAGCAAGCAATTAGCTTGCAAGCCATAGCCGCACTCCAAGCAGGCTATCGATCGGCCTACACGGGCGAACGAACACAAGCCGTCAATCAATCGATAATTCATAATTCAAATTGAATGTCAGCCCCTGAGTCCCAGCCAATCGCACCGATGACTAATACAGAAGTGAAGCTGATTGGTTCGTGGATCTATCCTACACACGTTCGTTTCCCTAAATGTGTTGTACCTCTAACACTCAAAGACTTCTGCCGTTGCACACTTCTTGTCGGGTTCTTCCTTTGGGGACTCACAGAAGGCGTTATTGGGCGAAGATATCTCGGCCTGGGCTTCCGTTACAACATAAGTAAGTCCATAAAATCTGCCACACAGGTTCCCAATACTACGAAGCGGTTTGTTTAGGGGTCCATGTGCATGTCCGCTCCTCAAGTCAAGCGAAGTTAATACTTGTACTTGGTACGGCGTTATTGGTGCCTGGTCTATCTGGTACGAAATGTCCCACGGATGGAGGTGTACCACACGCAACATGGTGTGAACGCGGATCTTGTGAGCTCGACTCATGCTTAACTCTAGAGACGGGGGCCGAATAGCTTTGGTCAAGGACCTACCTCCATATCTTGATCAACGTTATCCTGCACGATCTTG